GATGGCCCAGTGTTTGAGCGCTTATCATGCAAACTTCTCTTCTTACCAACTTTAGTTATCGTGTAAGACGGAACCATATGTTTGGATCTGTTCATACGATAATGAAATGTTATTATAGTATTCTTAAAGGTAACAATCAATGTAAATGCGACAAAATTTATAGTATCTGTTACGAGGCGTCCCAAATGACCTTGAATATATCACTTCCTCCCTACCCAACCGCACCCCAAGAATATTTCGTTATGTTCGTAAAGTGTCATGTCGCTCATAACCTACACTAAATACACTTAAAGTAACAGACGTGACATTTAAAATATTATAATACGGTAAACCTTTATTCACTTAAAATTTAGTAAAACTGCATTTGCAAAAAGTAGTGTTTGTGCTGTATAATGTGTTTTTAATAACAATATTATTATTATAACCTTTAAAACAGTTTTTTAATCAGACTGTCATTGATATTAGCTATTAAACCATTTTAGAATCAACTTAAGCACCCTAAAATCTTCATCAAAATTCTATCTTCAGCAGTTTATGAGGAATAATAACGAAAACACGCAAAAAGATAGATATGTGTACCATTTTGATATCATTTATTTTTCGATCATTTAAGTTGTACAAAAAGTGTTGTTTAACATACGAAACATAGTAATAGCATGTAAGCTTATTTAAGTCGAACGTTGAATTAATTTCACTGTTTACGTACAATAGCAAATATTTTAAAGTAATTAAGAATTACAGATGTGTAAGTCAATAGATATTAAATAATAATATATAAAAATATAAAAAGACTAGACCTCGGGGTAACTTAAAATGATATCAAACCCATAAATTCGCGTAAATGTCAACACATTGTAATCTAAAAATAGAACCTTTTTTTTATGGCTCTGGCACGATTTGTGCATTAACCAGCGTCAAGTATAGGATTTTTTATAATTCGTGCTTGTCTTTTAGAAATTCGACCGTGTCCTCCATGTACGGTTTAGGCACACGCCCGGAACCGCACAACCCTCCCAAAGGCCGAGAACAAATTTAAATTAAATTAAAAATTGCCCTTGAACCGGGAATCGAACCCGGTACCCCTCACCTAGCTGCCACTTAATAAGACCGCTAGGCTATGAGGCCCCCAAATTGAACCTTAATCTTTAATTAATATACTTTAAAACAAAGTCACTCAAAGTCATGTCATGTCAGTCAACTGTCAAGAAACCTGATATAGCATTTCTGCTCTATAAAAGAAACAATGTTAGAAAATGAAATAAAACTTCAGAACAAACGTCATAATGAGCAAACGAAATTGTACAGAGCATTGACCTTTTGGTTTTAATAAATACATTTACGCTCGCTGCTATTAATACGGACATTTAAAGCTCTCCTCGATAGAACCCACGTTCCAGAGGAAAATTAATTTACAATTTAAAAGAACTAGCAGAGTTCTTTATACTGTAGTATAACTATTAAGCAAAAGTTTATAGACCCTTCCATGAAGCATCAACGTGCTTTATGCCTTTGAACCTTTCATTGTATATTTTTATTTTCACTTATAAAACTCTCATCATAAGGTGTGTATGAGCCAAGGCTGTACATTTTACTCAATGAGGCTTTCTTAGTTTTATAAGCTTGGCGATTACCTAATCGCCAGAGTTACCCCCCAGAGAGAATAGTCAGACGTACTCTCTTCAACATTTACATTATATTTATTTAGCAATTACATATATCTGTCTCTAATCGGCAACTCATCTCTGAGCATCGTGGTCGGCAAGAAAGCGTCTAGAGCGGACTATCCGCTTACACCGTTTCGGTCCAGCGCGTGTCTTATGACAGTGTACAGTATTGTGGACGATGAGTATTTCAGTTGATCGGTCGATCTGGTTGGTGAACGGCCATTTCGCAGTTACCTGTACGTAATTGATTCATTTGGCGCCGACTCAAGATTAAGTTTTTAAAGATAAAAGGTTATAAACATCAACATCAAGGTTATCTACAATTACTTTAACGTTTTTTGTTATTTCTAGTTTTATTGTTTTGTATGTATGTACAAAAAGTCTGTAAGTCCAGATATATTCTTAGCTGTGATAAACAAGCGTCTCGAAGCAGGTTACTTTCCGAACAAATGGAAAGAAGCAGTAAACATAGTACTGAGAAAGCCAACCAAAGTAGACTACGGTGACCCAAAGTCGTATTGACCGAGGTCGGCCCCCCCCCCCAAAACCCCAGGCCCTCTCTATACTACTACTGGAACAAAAGAAAATACTTACTCTTGTCTCACTCGATATAGAGTGCGCCTTTGACAGCACGTGGTGGCCAAAAATAAAAATTCGATTGGAAGAAGAAGGCTGTCCGGTAAACCTCATAAGAGTCATGGACAGTTATTTAGAAAATAGGAGGGTGACACTAAGATATGCTGGAGAAGAAATAAGCAAGGAAACAACAAAAGGGTGCGAGTCCATACCATATGGAACCTGTTAATTGACCCTCTTATTAAGGAGTTGGCACATAGAACGGAATATATGCAGGAATTCGCGGATGACGTACTGATGATATTCGAAGAGAACAGTGGGCAGGAGATTCAATTGAAAGCCAACCGTGTCCTTGCCTTCGAACACGAGTGGGGTGCCCGAAACAAACTTAAATTCGCGCCTCAAAAGACCAAAGCCATGGTGGTAACGCGTAAACATAAATTTTATACCCCACGCCTAACCATGAACTCAGTACCAATCAGCATTGATAAACAAATCAAAGTATTGGGAGTTGAAATAGATCAAAAAATTACATTTAACGGCTATATAAATAACGTTTGTAATAAGGCAATAAAAATTTACAAACAGCTATCTAAAGCAGCCAGAATTAACTGGGGACTAAATTCGGATATTATCGCCAGTATATACCACACTGTAATTGAGCCTATTATTATTTATGCTGCTGCGGCCTGGGCACCAGCTGTGAAAAAGCTTTATGTACGCAAAACACTAGACAAGCTACAACGAGACTTCGCCCAGAAAATATGTAGGTCCTACCGGACGGTTTCACTGAACGCCTCCATACTACTCTCAGGCACACTGCCTCTGGATTTAAGAGTACAAGAGGTAGCAACTATATATGAAGCCAGAAGGGGTTTATCTCCGAGCGGATTAGAGGATCTTAAGATAGAGCGAAGGTCATCATTTAAGGATCTACCACACCCTGCAAAAGAAACAGGCCTACATTTTAACATCGTTGATAACCACGGACGGCCGGAAAACGAAGAAATCTTAATTTATACCGATGGTAGCAAGACTATTATGTCAAAATTATTAGACAAAAAAGACCTAGCCCACAAATGATGCAAATCTTAACAGGACATGGGCGTTTGCTGAATACCTGCATAGTTTTGGGTTGAAGTCAGATCCGTCGTGTTCGTGCGACTCACAAACAAGTCAGACAGTGTTACATCTCATTATAGAATGTCCTGTATTTGGAGCCTCCAGGTGCGATCTCGAGCAACAAATCGATAAAAATTTTACTGGACCAAGCATTTACCGGAAATATTAAGGAACTTCAGATCGCAACTGGAAGTTTTCTGCAGTAAGGTAGTGAGATTTGTCACTCACTGCAACAAAAGCGTAGCAGAGGTGAGACGGGCCCCCACTAGCCCATGAATATAAAATAGAAATATGTATTTGTATATATGGCATAAAATAAGGCACCACAAGTGTCGGGGATATTGGGAAATTATATATAATAATAATAATAATAAAAAAATATAAACGATTTTAAAACAAATGGTGACTTTCACCAATATAATACGTGAAACAGAACTAATTTAAATGTAGTTAGCGACACCAGGCTCCAGAAGATATACCACACCTTATATGTAAATTGTATTCGTTTTTACAACAAACTCCCAAGCGAAATTAGAGAATTGTCACTCAATACATTCAAAGTCCTCGTTAAACGAAAATAAATCAATAAAGCTTTTTATAAATTTGACGAATTTTTAAATGATCCTAATCCTTGGCATTGATTTGCTCCAGTTCAAGCAATTTGTATGACTCGTAACTTAGCGATTAAAAAGAGTGGCGGAAAGTTTCTTGCCAGTTCTTCTTGCCCGCTCTACCAACTCTACCGCCTTGAGTTGCGAACTGGTAGTAAATGTAAATTTACAATTAATGTAACTTCTTTTTTGACGTTCATGTGTACTAAGTGTGGTGAGTTCGTCTGCAAAATCAACTTCAGCAGGCGATGTATGCTTGTTTTGCGTTAAACATATATTTTATTAGAGTTTGACTTATGTTTTACGCTTTCTTTATTATTCCGGTTCACATGCACAATATTCAGAGAATTGTTTATATAATCCTCTGAATATTGTGCCTATGAAACGGCGCCCTACATAGCTTTTGGTGATGCAGCTTAGCGCAACATCATCTCCAAGGAGCTTAGCTGACTTTCCTGAATTTACTGTATTAACTATCTTATGTATATCTTCTACTGTTATTGTAAAATAATTGTTGTTTGTTTGGTAATATTTCATTTTAATTATGAACTGTACCTGTGTTTATATTTAAAAACTTGTTATTAAGACAAGTCTTTGTTATTTACGAGCAAATCGTGCGTATTTAACACGATTTCTGATTAATGCCTAGCCATAAACATTGCAATCGTTTAACAGTAACGTCTACAGGTTCTTTCTATACAATCAATATTTCATTTTTAATCTAAATCCACTAAACAGTGTTTAAAGTTACATATAGTTTTGGAAATTAATAAAAAGTAAGTATAAATAATTAATAAATCCTGTTGTTCTTTCATTACCAATATATTAAAGCGATCATTAACAATTGCGCATATATTATCTGAGTGTTATCGACCGATGCATTAATTATTTTTGTTTGAAACAATAGCTTTGTTATTGCACTTAACGATACATATATTTTCGATAACATTTAACCGGTTTTATTAAATATATATCATTTTTTACAATAACACATAGGTGCTCGAGCCAGGACAGAGCAGACGCTATCATGACGGAACGCGTTGCCGTTGTTACGGGCTCCAATAAAGGCATCGGTTTCGCCACTGTTAAGGGTCTCTGTCAAAGGTTTAAAGGAGTAGTCTACCTCACATCCAGAGATGTCAAACGAGGAGAGCAGGCAGTCTCAGAACTTAACAAATTAAACCTTCATCCCCTCTACCACCAACTCGATGTAGCTGACCGAGACAGCGTCCTGCGATTCAGCGAGTATCTTCAAAAGAAGCATGGAGGTATTGATATTCTCATCAACAACGCTGCTGTCGCCAATAGCAGAGATCTGTACAACACTTACGAAGAAAACAAATACATCGTAGATATCAACTATAAGAGTATATTAACGATTCAAGAACTAATATTTCCATTGGTAAGAAATAACGGTCGCATTATAAACATATCGAGCGACTGCGGCCACATATCTAATGTAAAAAATGAGTTTTGGGTAAAAACGTTGTCTAAAAAGGATTTAACCTTAAAGGAAATCAATGAATTTGTAGATTGGTTCCTGGATTCAAGTAAGAATAATACTTTTAAAAAGGAAGACTTTGCTGATGATGGTACGGTGGTCGCTTATAGAGTGGCTAAGGTGGCAGTGAGCGCCCTAACTATGCTCCAGCAGAAAGAGCTGGATGGGAAAAATATCAGTGTAAATTCAATGCACCCAGGCCTGGTTCGAACGGACATGACTTTAGGCGCTGGGTTCTACAATGCAGATGAAGCGGCCGAAACACCTCTTTACCTGGCTTTGGAAGCCCCACAAAGTTTGAAGGGTGCATATGTATGGCATGACAGGAAGGTTCGTGACTGGTACGATCATAAAGCTGATTATTACTTTAAGACATCCGCGCTTCGGGCTTGATCGGAACGTGAGTAATACGCGGCATCTTAGCACGCCAATTGTTTTAATAAATAAAATGCTTAATAACTTGTAAATTTGAATTTTTATTTAAAAAAGTTTGCTAACGGGCATTAGAATAAAAGATGTGTCTAAGAACACACAAAAATAACAATAAAAAACTGCTTATACTTAATAACTATTGCTAAGTAAGAGAATTCTTAAACTATATTTGATCTAAAAAGCGAGAGATATAAACGAATTTTGAGAAAAGATAGCTCTGGGAAACTGTCTAGTAAGGTGGAAGGGCGTTTACTTTTAGATATTGCTATTTGCGATTATTTATATTTCGTAAGATATTTTCTTAAGCATAAATGTTTCTACGTCTTTCCTTTGTAATGTTTATAAAAAAATGTGTGGGCTACAACCATTTAGGTCTGGGTATCACATTTCTGTATCTGTTTCGTGATCATTTGTTTATTTTAATCGGAAAGTAGGTAATCAGTGGTCGACATTTTGAGTCTAAGAGATGCCAATTTCCTCACGATATTTTCCTTCACTGTACGAGCGGCTTTAAAACGCGCACATAGAAAGTCAATTGGTGCACAGCCGGGTTACTGCGATCTCAGGGATGGGGGTCGCAAGCTGGAGCCACAAGGGCGACACTGCTTAGGAATGGTTATAGCAACCCTTTTAATAATCAGGCTTTAAACGATAATATATTCTTATATATAAATCACTAAACGCACCATAAGTCATGCCTGTTTTTAATGAATACATATTTCATCTTCGACAGTCTTATCTCAATTGAATTCATAGATAAGGCTTTAGTCTTGCCGCCTACCAAAATGAATTATTCATCACTCAATTATACAGGTATTGTGTTAGTGCAACCAATATTATGTTATTGTTTGAGCTTTATTAGTTATGATCAATAACTTCAATTAACTAAGTACTGGATATAATTGTTAATTGGTAACGACGTTGAGGTTAATTAGGAGTTGTCGTACCTTGATAAATTTTATACAAGTAAAACACTTAGTTTCAAAAGTTAGATTGCTTCATTTTCTATTCGTTATAAATTGAATCGATAGAAATTGAGTATTAAATTTTAAAAGCATTTATTACAGCCGTACCTACTCAGAGTTTAAGGCTAAGTTTAACGGCTCACTTCAGCTAGCATTGGGCAGTTTTAGAGTTTGTTGCATGAAAAGGATTTTCAAGTAGGCTTCTTAATATCCTACCCTAGAGTTTTATTATATAAATAGGGATTAATTTATCTCGACTTTGTACTGCTCTAGTAAAAAAGATTTTCTTAGTTATTTTCATTCTTTTTATTAATTGCTTTAAAATGTGATGAGGAGCATGAAGTTGCAGAAGCTTAAAAACATTTTGTAAAACCAACAACTTGGAGATCAAAAATAATGACGGTGAGTTTATTGATAGTTCTCGTCTGTTCAACGCCCCGTTAATTCCTTAATCAGAACTTGCAGTAAAACCTTAATATATATATAAAAAACTTTAGAGGTGTCCCATAACAAATTCCTTCGATTAATTTATATTTAATTGGTATCATAACAGTATGATAGATTTTCTCACACCAACACACGAAAAAAAAACCAAATCACGAGGTGTTCCCGCGGTCACCCATCAAGTACTGACCTCCCGAGTTGCAACTTCTGACGGACGAGAACCGGTGTTACATAGCAAAAGCAAAAAGTGTCGTAAACTTCGTAAAATTTTTCCGTCTTTCACAACGCGCGATAAGGAACTTCGTTCCAATAAATAATTTCTTATTGACGTCTATAAGTGTATAATTAAAAATTATATTTTGATTTAAACAAACTACTATTTATGATATTCCCTGTATAAAGTACGTCATTATAATCTAATGTTTGTAAATTGAATAATATGTTTTTATATAAAAACTTGCTGTTTTTAGATTATAAATTAATTAAGCTTCTAAATACGTTATAGTATTGTGTGCCGTTTAACAATAGAACTGTGAAACTCCAGACATAAGAGATACAGCATATTAACTCGCGCTCATTGTTACCTTTGAAGAGAGTTGGCGCGGCGAGCGGCGTCACTGATTACTGTATAAATTAGATTGCCCTGTCTCTCGTACTAATTTTAACCCTGCTTCTTCAATTTCATATGAATAATTTTAATGAATTGAAGTTTTCTATACTGGTTTATTCCTTCGTAACCTAGTAACACAAATTGCGTATAGAGCTCCGTATCCGTTACGGGTATTAGATACAAATTGGACATTGGTGGAAATTTAAATGGACTTGGGCCAACCTTTGCCCCATGACTCAGTAAGGTTATCCAAACAAACCAACTGCTTTGCTTAAAAAGCTTACGATTCAATCTTTACAGTAGCAATCAAAACAAATGTTTTATTAGCATGTTTATGCTCAATACAAACATATAAATTATTAAATATATTTCATTAGCCCAATAATTGGCCTAGATCCAGTAGGTACAAACGTTTATACAATCTGTTCGTAATTCTAACATCAGATTAGGTAAATTGTACATTTATATCCAGTTTACCCTCAATTAATAAACATAAATCCAATTAAGCTATAAATTTGAAATGGACAACCACATCCTTTATGCTTATTTAAAATTTATTTAGACTGTTATATAATGCAAGTTGCAGTTGGCTTACCATATAATTTCAACATTGAGGTTTCGTACCACCTTATTTCATTCGAAATGGTGCTAAAAATATATAAAGAAAGCCCAATGAAACACCAATGAATTGTAAACTATTTATTTATTATCAATTTCAGAAAAGACCATAGAAGGCCATAGAAGTTTACTTGCTGGTCTGGACAGCGGATGCTGATGATTATTTTCAGTATTAAAGATTTAAAAAATAATTGAAATATTGATTCATTGTTATCGGTTGCAACTTAATTTAACAGTAAACATTAATCGGGCTGCATTGTAAACGCAATGCGGCCACAATAGTACTGTTTTCCACTTTAATTATATTAAACAACGAACCTTTCACGTCCGCAACACATCTTTTGTAATTCTGCACGTTTGAAGCTGTTTTTATTTTACTCAAATTCTACATGAATACGCACACATTATAACTAGTATAATGTCTGATTATTAAATTACTTACTATTATTTTATTATTTCTATGAATTATAAATATACGCGGGTTTGGTTACCTCTCTGCCGTTACACTTTGAGAACTAATACGGAGAGTCAACAGAACTGCAATATAATGTGATTATTATTTATTATTTTTTGCCCCGTCTCATCTCCTTCGGACAAGCAAAAAAGCTGGCGCGGCCGCAGAACAGGCAGAAATTAACAAACGGCACAAATATAAGAGTCTTTCCTCCAACTTCAATTTTGTTCCCTTTGGAGTAGAGACTCTTGGGCCGTGGGGTTCAAGTGCACAGGCGCTTATTAAAGATTTAAGTTGGCGCCTGTTAGATAGTACCGGTGACCACAGAGCTGGCACTTTCCTGGCTCAAAGAATAAGTCTCGCAATACAGCGAGGAAATGCTGCCAGCGTTAAAGGTACACTGCCACAGGGACCAAACTTTTTAAATTTGTTTTGATTTTCTTCTTTCTTCTTTAATTATTTTTATTATTACTTTATAGGTTAAGAAAATTGTAAATACTGTATTAGTGTAACTTAATAACATTGTTTTAAGTTCTTTTACTTTATGATGTATATTAATCCCATTGAAAGGATATAGTTAACGCATATGTACGCAATACAGTACACGGCGTCCGTATCGTTTCATTGTGATTGTTCGGAGTATCACTAGTTCAGTAACAGACACACGACATTAATCGACCGTGCTGTCTATAAAACGAATTGGATATTTATTCTCCGTACATAAACGTCTAAAGATGACATAAGCGAATAAAGCTTATATATAAGTGGAACCGCTATAAGCCAGAAATAACACAATATTTTGGGTTGTATCAAAATTCGGAGCGTAGAACTCGTATCATTAGCATAGTCATTAATTCGAGAGCAAAGAAAAACTGGGTCTAATTGAAGTGTCACAGTTGTTTATTAATGAGTTACAGGAGTGGTGTATCGGTGGGTCATGTAAATAATTCACGCCTGATGAATTAAACACAACCAACTTTTTGTGTTTACGTTTCAATTAAAAAGTTTCGACATGTTTAACATGGGATGAAGGAGTATGTGAAACAATTAGTAATCCTTTTTCAACTTTCTATGCCTTACTGATGCTTTTGTATACTAGAACTTATTCCCAGTAGGATATAATAGCAAGTGGGGTGTGATCCTGGTAACAAAAAACCAAATAGATGAATTATGTGTGTACTGCTATCGGGGGACTTTAGACATCGCAACAGTAACTTATTATGACTATTATCAGTAAATGATAAGCCCCACAAAAGGTCAACATATCAATAAACAATAACAAAAATAAGCCCACAGAAATCTAACATCACTAATTAAATAACAACAAATTCTACCTCTCCTACCCCTTCTGATGAAGGTTACAAAGAACAAAAGGTCAATTACAAAAATAAATGAAATTATTGAGAGTTACGCAGGAGCTGGGAAAACCGTAATTTGTTATTCTGATGTAATGCTAGTACCTGTGTGACCTTGCTTTGGTTATAAGATAGCTGTGCGCTATATTACATAGTAGATGTTTAAAGTAAAGATTCCGTAATCGGTAGATATTAAGGTTATATATTATCTTATAGTTTAGTTTTGCAGTAAAAGTTTTAAAAAATTGTACTGCCCATAATAATTCAACACAAAGATTTAAGTTTGGAGTTTTCATAAATTCATTTTTTCGTCAATAATTCAGATAGTCAAGCAATTTGTATTTCGAAGAAATTCGTTTACGCAAATAATTCATTAAAATTTTAAAATATGTATAATCAAATATTAATTAGTATTAATTCTCGCAGGAATTATAATTTACAACTTAATAACATCTAGACGCGTTTATCAATAGTTATCGTCAATTCACAATTAAATTTATTGTATAGAGTGACATCAACATTTGAGCCAGTTTTCATAAAACAGCGACCGGTTGCGAACATGTCACGCGTTGCTCTCGTCACTGGTTCCAATAAAGGTATCGGATACGCCATAGTAAAGGCTTTGTGTCAAAAATTTGACGGCGTTGTTTACCTTACCTCTCGTTCCGAAGTCCTCGGCAAAGCAGCTATCAATAAACTAAACAAACTTGGACTTCAACCCGAATATCATCAACTTGACGTCACGAATAGAGATAGTGTTATCGCGCTTAGAGATCACATAGCATCGAAACATGGAGGTTTAGATATTCTCATCAATAATGCTGGTTATGTCAACAGTGTACTCTTCAATTCTTATAAGGAGGAAGAGAAAGTGATCGACATTAACTACAGGGGTGTTCTGACCATGCAGGAACTGATATACCCTATGGTAAGAAATAATGGTAGAATATTAAATGTATCCAGTGACTGTGGACACCTGTCCAACATCAGAAACAAATACTGGATAGACAGGCTATCGAAAAAGGATTTAAAAATATCTGACATAAACGAATTCGTTGACTGGTATCTCGATTCCAAGAAGAGCGGTAGTTTTAACCCAGATGATTTAGTTGATAAAGGTAGTATAGCTGCCTATAGAGTATCAAAAGTGGCCTTGTGTGCACTAACAATGATACAGCAAAAGGATTTAGAGTTTAAGAACATCAGCGTAAATTCTGTTCATCCAGGCTTCGTTAGAACTGATATGACTATGAAACTTGGATTCTTGTCCACTGATGAGGCAGCCAAAACTCCAGTGTATTTGGTTTTAGAGGCACCTGAGTCTCTGCGAGGTGCCTACGTGTGGCACGATGGAACGGTTTTAGATTGGTTCGATCACACAGCAAATGTTTACTTCACGACAAAATTTGCTAGGAGTTGGGTACTGAGCAGTGTTATTGTCAATATAAAAGAGTATATTTTTATGTGGATAAATTATATTTTAGAAAAAGTAAGGCTACCTATAACAAATAAAACTTTGTAAATAATTATATCATAAATAAGATGCCATGAATAAAAACACCTAGTAAATAATATATAAAAATACTTTGAATATGCCCTTGAACATTTACAATCACAAGTGAATATTGATATTAATTTTATACAACAAGGAAAAATATTAAAAATAATTCTCTTACAGCGTTGTAATAACCTTATATTACTCATATTTAAATACTGATTCACGGTATAGCTAGTAGATTATTTTTCAAGTGTTGATTTTTGCTGTTTAAACAAAGATTGATAAAATCACAAATACCTGCTAACGATACCACTATTTATCTGTGCGCATTCATATCATTTATCGCACATGCGATAAACATTAAACGATGACGTGAACGAATGTTCACGATTATATTCAAAACTACAATAAAAAGATTCTATAACATAGTTATCACATAATACCCTATTCCCAGTGGCTGACTCCGCTAGACAACGGCACGTGGCGTCAACGCGTCGTCGGTCGTGGCGCGTGAAGCTGCAATAAATTACTACGACAACGTTGCACTTTTCACTGCTCTCCCCACACCCCCTAATACCCACCCATCTATACCTCGTCTGTTAGTCGGCGTCATGCCTCCTGCATTAATTCCTTCCCACGTAGTTGTGGTCTGTAAAACAGCTTGACTTTAGATGAATGTAACAGCGACAACGAAACTAATTTTGCAACAATGAGGAGACTGAACTGATGAATTTACTGTACCTCGTTGTAATTTCTAAATCCATTTGTTTAAGAGATATTTTCTTTTGAAAGCCTTTTGAAATTTTATTTCTTTATTTGACTAGGAGATAATCGGCAGAGACTCATCCAATTTTCAAATAAGTCCAATAATATAATATATAATTTACCCGCCAACGTTGCACTATGATAATGTCGTAAATAAAAAAAAATTAGAGATATATATATATTATATATACTAATATTATAAAGAGGAAAGATTTGTATGTAAGTATAAAGTAAAGAATAGGCTCAAAAAGTACTGGACAGATTTTAAAAATTCTTTCAACATTTGAATGCTACATTATCGCTAATTAATATAGGCTATTTTAATTGCAAGAATATATATTCTAAACCTCAGTTAAATGTTTTTAAAAATTACCCGTTGGGGGGCCAGCGATACACTATTCCTAAATACATTATTATCAAGGTATGTATGTGTTATTAGGTATGTCCTGTACAATGAGCATTTACTACCATTTAGCACCCGTGCGAACTGCGAAGCCGGGCCACGGGCCGCTAGTATATATAGTCAGTGAAATTATTTCTATTCAACACATACATTGTGATTATTATGAAAAGAATAATACCAAGCGGTAACTCACATGTGTTTGATTTTCTTATCGTCGGCTGTTGGCGTGTCATAAGCGATCTAAAAACGTATGCTAATAGGAGGAATGCCCACTTTCCGCCATATAAGTACTTTGTTCCTGACACACGGAAACACGGATTTATTGAATTTTCCTTCTTAATATCGCAATGTCTTCGACACGACATTAGTATATCAAAGGTACACGTTACCGCTATAAATTAACTAACCAACGTAGCTACTTAAACAATTTATTGCTAGGCAATTATGTACACTGTATGCTTGTTTTAACGGATACGTAATATTATATTAAGCTATTTTTCGGTTCCCCTGTTCACGGAAATGCAGATGGAAACTATGCCTATGTGTTTGGTTGGCTTTCGAGCGCTCCGCTGGAAATATGTACGGCGTTTACGGGTAAAGTATCTGTATATGTGTCCAAAAGGAATTACACAAATGCCGTACAGTAATAAATGACCTATATTGCTTCTGCAACTATCGTCGAATTAAAAATTTGCACCGACTTCCGGCACCATCACTTTAGTACGGCACTAGGTTTTTCGACATTTATTTTTAATCATCTATACCCTTATAACAAAGCCGTACATTAATAATTAGTCGAAATTCCTCCTTAGTATCTGAGAAATTCTATTCACTCACGTACTCACATGTACCGCTCAGAAATGACGGCATAGTGCTCAGAGTTATTTTCAGATATAGTAACAGCCTTCTAAACGTAATTCACGTTGGGTCATTTCACAGGTATTTTTTGTTCATGGGCTTGTGGTCTATTACATTCAATAGATAAATATTTTTGTTTTACATTACTACAAGCTAAACGTCACTTTGCGGCTTCTATATATTAGGTCCTTACATATGAAATTGGCGTATTTCGTACTGGCCACTTTAATCACGATGTTCTCCTCTTTTGTCAGGAATTCCAAATTCAAATTTGTACAGCTGTTTACTCATGTATTTGTGCTTCGATGACCGTCATTCATTTGTTTTTTTCTTCTGTTTTTTTCTGTTTGCGTCACTCATTTTACAAAATGGAAAACTTAAAGTATCGCATTATTTACGAGTGCGAGTTCCGCCGTGGCACTAGTGCTGCGGAAACGACTCGAAGGGTGAATGATGTGTATGGCGGTCATGTTGCAAAAGAAAACACAGTTCGTTTTTGGTTTCAACGTTTTCGTTCTGGAAATTTCGACCTGCAGAACAAGCCCCGTGGACGGCCTGAGACCCATGTTGATAATGAAATATTGAAGGCTATTGTGGAAGCGGATCCATCGCAAACCACGTCCGAGTTAGCTGCAGGCTGCGGTGTTAGTGATAAAACTGTTTTAATTCACTTGAAGCAAATTGGGAAGATTAAAAAGCTTGAAAGATGGGTACCTCACGAATTGACTGAAGCAAACCGGCAAACGCGCGTCGACTGCTGCGTTACATTACTGAACCGGCACAATAAATAATAATGAAGGTATTTTAAACCGAATCATTACCTGTGATGACAAATGGATTCTTTACGATAATCGGAAGCGCTCAGCGCAATGGTTGGATCCTGGCCAGCCAGCCAAATCCTGCCCCAAGCGAAAATTTTAAAAAAGCAAAAAAGTTACTTGTAAGCGTTTGGTGGACTAGTGCCGGTATTGTTCATTGCAGTTTTCCCAAATCTGGCCAGACTATTACGGCTGATGTCTATTGTCAGCAATTGCAAACCATGATAGAAAAGCTAGCGGCTAAACAACCTAGGCCGGTCAATCGCTCCACGCCACTGCTACTTCACAACGCTAGACCACACACTGCATAAAAGACGGCTACCAAATTAGAAGAGCTTCAATTGGAATGTCTAAGACATCCTCCGTACTCCCCGGGCCTTGCTCCAACAGATTACCATTTTTTTCGAAATTTGGACAACTTCTTGCCAGGGAAAAAATTTAACTCTGATGGGGCAGCCCAAATCGCCTTCACAGATTTTATTGATTCCCGTCCGACTGGTTTTTTTAGTAAAGGGATCAATGAACTACCTATGAGATAGCAAAAGTGCATAGAAAACAATGGTTCATACTTTGATTAATTAAATATATTATATTTAAAAATATTCGACTTTTTGTTCCTCCCATACAAAATGCCAATTTCATATGTAAGTACCTAATATATAGAGATCATAACCTATTATTAAACAAAAGTAACCTTACAAAAAAAAAACAATTACTAATCAAAGAAAAAATTCAAATTACAGAAAACTAAACAAAAATTCATTTTATATTGTGAGGGGAGCAACTATGTATATCCAGACCTAGCTCGTTTATAAGAATGCTTAATCTGGACATCGGCATCGGTGAGCTTTGACCAAAACGCGTTCTACGGAAAGGGACAAATGGAATAATGGGATGCCGGGGGTATCGAGAGTTTACTTTATACGTGATTATATTTATTAGAGTACGACTGCTTAAGGGGAATGTAAAGAACGACATGTACTGAATTAAAATAATATATTATCGTTTTATATTGTGGGATTCCCGGAAGCTCATCCTTCCTCTCCGAATCATCATGGCAGCGTTATTTAATAGAACTTCTTTACCCCAGGAGGGTACCTGCACTTCTAGTACAGGAGAATCCGTCCCTGGGTGTGCTCACTCAGGCTGTCCCGCGTATTCTGGGGGGGGACAAAATACCGCTCAACTGCAGAGGCAAATCTAGAAATAAACTCACGGTAACACAATTTAACACAGACTTTACTAACATTAGGGGGCTTCAATCTAATTTAAATCCCGTCCACTTTCACCTCGAGACGGCTAAGCCGGCCTTATTGTTTCTAACGGAGACCAAGATAGTTTCCTCGTCTGTTGAACATTTGCACTATCCAGGCTATTGTCTTGAGCATAATTTTAGGCCACAAGCCGGTGTATGCGTTTACATTCGTGAGGATATAAATTTCCGTCGCCTCTGACATTTGGAAGAATCCGATCTTTCTACCTTGTGGGTACGCGTAGAATGTGCTGACCATCCCCGCATATACTGCTGCCTTTACAGCCCTGCGATTCTGTAACTCGCTTTTCGAACTCACACAGCGGTTTTCGCATCGGCGGTCGCTCTCAAATCAGTTGTGAAGCAGTCATTTTATGATTTGGAATTCAGATGAACAATAAACTACAAGCTCCCACCTTTTCAGAATGCCAAATCATAAAATGACTGCTTCACGACTGATTTGAGCGCGACCGCCGATGCGAAAACCGCTGTGTGAGTTCGAAAAGTGAGTTACAGAATCGCAGGGCAGGTCACACAGCGGCAACACCGAGGTCGATCGACTTATAGAACATGTCCAAACTGCACTCGATTCCCTTCTGTCTCTATCGCCTGCTGAAGTCGTTATACTGGGTGATTTCAATGCCCATCATTCTGAGTGGTTGAATTCTCGTACGACCGACTATTCGGGAAGAGGCTTCCATGATTTCGCTCTTGCATATGCTTTAACTCAACTGGTCACAACGCCTACGCGAATACCAGACCGAGCTGACCATCAGCCTTCGTTATTAGATCTTATGCTGACTTCTCACCCAGACTTCTATGAGGTTACTGTGGATGCCCCACTTGGGTCCTCCGACCACTGCTTGGTGCGAACCGTTGTGCCAATTAGGCGTCGAACCCGCCCGCAGTTTTCGGAATGCCGTCGTGT